AAATCTTCCTCTCCCCCTGCATCGAACGAGTTACATGTTGCAAATCAGGTGCATCAGAGAACGTTTCGAATTTGCGGACAAGAGGAAACGAACCAAGAAGAAATGTAGAAAAAAATAAAATTGCATTTTTTAACCTTTTAAAAAATGAAATTTATTCTGTGTGGCAGGGACTCTATTCTATAAGAGAACTCCTTTCAAAACTTTGTGCTGAGTTGCCGTCATCTACGAGGACCTGGGGTGATGGAAACGGTGCCCTTATACTTTTACGCCCTCCCCTTATGTTATATTGGTGTGAATTCGTTTCAGCAATCCTCGTCGCCACTGTTATATTCCGTGGTAAGGGAATAAACACGTAACGCCAGATGGATACTAGAAGAAAGGTTTATTGTACACAACCAGCACAATATGAAATACGGTACAGTTATACAAACAGGTGAATCTAGTAGCGAGTGCCACTAATTGGAAGGTCAGACGTGCTTGCGTCATCTCACTCTTACTCAAGTCTCTCGTAGACAGTTGACTTTATAGGTACTTACTACCTATAGTGTAATCATTCATGGGGGTGACTGGTTATTCCATTACATCAGTTAGTCACACAGAAGGCCAAAGAATAAATCCGCTCATTTTTTTTCAATGATAATCAATGAAAAGGAAAAAAAAATGTCAAAATCTAACGCAAATATGAAAAAAAAACTGTATGTCAGTGGTTCGGAGAATACAGGAAAACAGAAAAAAAACTTATTGTTGTGCTGAAAGCAACAATAACTTTGTTATACGTTCAAAAAATGTTTGTTCGTTATTTCCTTTCTCGAAACAATGGCGACTAGACAAAATTATTCTGTTAAATTTTTTGAAAACGAAAGACTTATGCCTTTAATTCATTTTAAGATGAAACAAAGAAATGAATTAGTTTCAAAGAAAGGAGCGTTATTTTTGTTGTCAGGGTTGATTCGTTTTGTACGGCTTATCAGGCAGGTTATTAAAAGCCTGACTATTTTTAGATTGTAATGTGTTTTTGGGGAGATAATAATAGTTTAGTGATACAAATCTTACTAATTAACACATAGACCGGGGAGATGTAGATTCATGCCTTTCTCAAGAGTATTTGCACGTCAGTGAATATAACAAATCCAACGGGAATTGGAACACGGCTCTCCGATCAACAATTCCGAGCCATTAACGATTACACCATCCGCACATCCAAGCTTACGGTGCCTGACATTCCCAAGCGGTCACCCATCTCGGTAGTGACCAGGGTCGAAGTTGCTTAAATTCAGCAAGAAAGCCACTAAGACACAAGGGGTTACTGAGTGTGAAAGAATAAGAAAAGAAAAACATTATTAAAGAGAGAGAAAAATAAAAGAACAAAAATTAAAAAGACAGAAAATGTTTGAGATTGCATTTAAATTTGGAAAGCATGAAACTGGAAGAGAGTTCCACACGTGAAAAGTGCGAGAAAAGAAACTGTTAGCATAGAACTTACGGTTACATCTAGCCATCTCCACTGTAAAATGATAAAACCTAGCCGCCAATCTAGTACTGCGCTCAAATTCATAAAGTCTAGGTACCATCGGAACAACTAATATGAAAGTATTTATAGAAAAGGCACAGGGAAGACTTTATAGTATTTGATAAAGCTCCACATTTAAATAAAATAGTGTTATATTCCGTGCTAAGGGAATAAATACTTAACACCAAGTGGATAATAGAAGAAAGGTTTATTGTTCACAACCAGTACAATACACACAGGTCAATCTAATAGTAAGTGTCACTAAGTGTAAGGTCGGACGTGCTTGTGTCGTCTCGTTCACACTCCTCTTCTAGTCTCTCGTAGACGGTGGACTTTATAGGTACTTACTACCTATAGTATAATCATTCATGGGGGTAACTGGTTATTCCATTACATCACCTTCCAACTACAAATCGTATGAAAGCGATATGGCAAAGATGTCAATCAAAAGTAAAAACAATGCATGAAATAAACTATTATGATATGATGGATCATTACTTTGCAATGTTTATGAAAAATTCATAGACTTTACCTCTTTTTATTTTATTTATTTGCCTGGTCATGTGACCGTCAACTGACCACACAAAATAGATCCTGAAATACGATATACTTGCAACGTGCTGTTTTACTGTTTTGGGGTTTTTTTTTTTTAATTAGACATTTTCTTCTTAATCCTAAATCTTAAATTCTTCGTCACACTCTACCCAATCTCATTATAATTTAATTTTTAAGAATTTGTCTATTCAGGAAAAAGTCATTATTACAACTACTTGTAGTAACGGGCAATTAATTAAATTTGGGGCAAGTTTCAATGTTTTGATCAAATAGAAACCAACGGCCTTCGATGGTGCACAAAAATGATGCTGTTCTAGAAAAGAACGCTAAAATGTAATTTCGAGAAGATTTGATGGCGGGAAAATAAACTAGCAAGAAAGCAGAAATTCTATAGCAACTTTAAGTTAAATCTTACGAAATAAACTCGTAAAACCC